ATCTAGGGAACAGAACAGGCTCAGCTGAAACGAAAGAAACCTCACTTTGGTTTAGGTAGGAGATGCAGAATGCGCCTTCTTTTTGGAGAAAGGTGGCAAAGAGAAGGTTCTTTCTAGAAAGGGGGGGAGAAAATATATTTTAAGTTGACATAATGTGTTTGTAGAGATTTTGGGTTTTGTTTTTCGGTCCGTCGTTGTTGCACGCCCCGCTCAGACTCACATTGTCTGAGTTGGGCAGCCTGATAAATCTAGCAAATACATAAATCAAGTTTAAAAAAACCCAGCTGCTCCGGCTTCTTTCCCCATTTGCAAAGAGCGCTCCAAGCCCAGACACTCAGCCATTTCATGCGCTTTTCCAACCACCCGCCCAGGGCTGTTTTCTCCCCACCCCACCCGCAGCTGCAGATAAGGCTCCCTAGGACAGTGTTTCCCAGCCGTGGCCATCTTCAGGGGGTATGGACTTCAACTCCCAGAATTCTCAGCACAGGCCCTGCTGGCTGAGGAATTCTGGGTCCTGTAGGCCGCCCAGCAAGAAGGTTGGGAGCCGCTGCTGAGGAGCTCTGGAAAGACTGCATTTCCCAGAAGGCCTTGGGTCTGAGGGCGGGGCGGGGCACAGAGGCTCTGCTCGTGCGTTCAGCAGCAGCAGCAGCTGTTGCAACTCGCGACCTCCGTCGCTCTCCTGCCCAAATACCAGGTGTTATATATAAGGGAGAAAAATCCCACTGGCCTCCCCGGGGACCAACCAGAGCGGCCCGCTGGAGCCTCTCCTTGGCTTTGCAACCATGCCAGGCGGTTTTCTCTCCCTCCCGAAGCAGAGGCTGCTTGGCACTCTTGGGAGGCTGTGGAGGGAGTGGGGCGGCTGCCCCGTTGCTGTCCACGGGGGTGGAAGGGAAGGGGACGGTGCCAGGGTCCCCTTTGGCACAGGTGCCAGCCCGTGGGTGTTTGCAGGGGGCATCCGGAGCTGGGCTGCAGCTCCCCCGTTGGCCATGGCTGCCAAGGTGGATTTGACCACGTCCACCGACTGGAAGGAGGCTAAATGTAAGTGAGAAGGGCAAAGTGTGTGTCTGTGTGAGTGTGTCTTTCCAAGTCCTTGCTCTGTCTCCTTCCAGCAGTCCTGCGGGCCCGTCCCTCAAGCGGGCAGAGTTGGTGGCTCGAAACTGGCATCCTTTCATTTCCAGCTTCTTCGTATCTCTGCCAAGCTCCTGAGGGCATGTGGGAGAGCTTGCTTCAACAGACTGTGATTTGTTCCACAGGGGCACTGAGGGTGGGGTGTGACTGCAGCTAGGGTGGCTGCTGAGAACTTAGTTTAGCACCACCTTAACTGAGTTTGCCATCTTTATATCCTGCCCTGAAGTGAATCAACCCTGAAGGGAGCTGGTTTATATTGCTTTAACCATGGTTTAGTGGAAAAGGTATGATGTGTGTGGGACTCTGCAACATGCTTGTCAATAAAAGCCAGCATTATGGCAGGGGGTGTATCTGGTTAATAATTCCAAAGACGAGGAGCTAAACTGCATATTATGACTCAATGCAAGGTGGGAACCCCATAACAACAACAATAATAAGTGTATTTTTATTAGGTATATGAGTCAATACACCTCAGCTTGTAGCCTAAAGTTTGGGACTTCTGCAAATTGCTTTCTGCAGTTAATTGTGCATTGCATTCTGGGAGTTTTCCTCCCCAGCTGAACTAGTTATGGTGGTAAATGCCCTGCAAAGCATTGTGGGAAACTGAAAGGGTATCCTATGAGATCAGCTGCAGGAGCCATTTCTTTTCCTGAGGCCCAGGCCAGCCTTCTCCAACCTGGTGCCCTCCCAATGTGTGTGTTTATTTTCCAAAATGTGTGTCCCACCCGTTTTAGACAAAGTGAGTGGCTTAGATGAGATGCTGGCTGGGAATCCTGGGAGATGTAGTCCCCGCACATCGATCCAGGGTGGAGAAATCATTCTCAGAGGAAAATGGCAGCTTGTGCCCCAAATGGCTGTTGGGTTGCATTGGTGCTTGATGGTGGCCAACTTAGAAAAACGGGCTGTGCTTTTATGCTGTGATATCCCCTCCACCGGGGCCAGTTCCACAATAATTTTGGATAAATTTCTCCTGCTCGTGCATGAGAGCAGAGCTGGCAGCAAACAGTTGGCAACCCTACCCAGTCATATCGACCATGGCATCCTGCTGGATTGGCTGGGGGGGGGGGGTTGGGAGCCCCTCCCCCCACGGCGGTGTCTCCTATAGGGGGGGGGGGGGGGGGGGGGTTGTTGGGAGCCCCTTCCTCCAAGGCTGGTTCCAATCAGTGCTGGTGAGAGGGGAGTGGTTGAGCCTTAAGCCCCTGTTTTGTGGGGTGCCTTGGGGCTCTGCCCTCTCCCCCTCCTTTCTCATATCTGCATGAAGCCCCTGGGGGAGGTCATCCATCAGGTTGGGGTGAGGTATCTCATGGTGATACCTAGCTGGGCATCTCTGTCCCCATTCATCCAAGCAAATCAAGGTTCTTTCCCACCATCTGGAGGCCGGGGGGGGGGGGTTGGGGTGGGGGGGAACAGGGGGGCACCCACCCCGCCCGGGCTTGGGGGCGTTTGGGCCCTGGTCCCCCCGAATCCGGATATGGGGTTTCACTTTT